ACCGGACACTTAGCATATTAGGCTTTTATTATATAGGATACTTTGCAAATATTTTCTCCCATTCCACAGTTTGCCTTTTCACTTTGTTGATTGTGCTCTTGGATGCATAAATGTTCTGAAATTTGATACAGTCTGTGTGTTTTAACTTTGTTGTGTGTGCTTCTGGCGACAGATACAAGAAATCACTGCTACATCAATGTTATGAAACTTTCCCCTATGCCAGCAGTTTTCAACCTGTGGGTTGTGACCCCTTTGACGGTCGAACGACCCTTTCACAGGGGTCGCCTAAGATCATCCTGCATATCAGATATTTACATTACGATTCATAACAGTAGCAACATGACAGTTATGAAGTAGCAACGAAAATGATTTTATGGTTGGGTCACAACTTGAGGAACTGTATTTAAAGAGCCAGAAGGTTGAGAACCACTGCCCTATGCTTTCTTCTACAAGGTTTATAGTTTTAGCACTGACATTTAGATTTTTTATTTATTTTGAGCTATTTTTTGTATATGATGTAAGGTAGGGATCAAACTTTATTCTCTTGTGGATGTAGTTTTCTCAGCACCCACTTGTTGAGAAGACTGTTTTATCCCCATTAGTCTTAGCACCTCTGAAATCACTTGACCATATATATGAGGGTTTATATCTGCTCTCTCTATTTTATTCCTGTGGTTTCTATGTTTGTTGCTAAGCCAAGACCACAGTGTTTTGATTGCTGTAGCTTTGAAATCAGGAAATATGCAATCTCTCACTTTGTTCCTTTTCAAGATTGTTTTGACTGTTAAGGTCCCATGAGATTCCATGTGAATTTTAGGATGGAATTTTCCTATTTCTATACTAGGTGCTTGTGGGATTTTGATAGAGAGTGCATTAAATCTATAGATTGATTGGGTTCTATTGACATCTTAACAATGTTGTTTTCAAGTCTCTGAACATGGAATGTCTTTTCACTTGTTAATATGTTATTTAATTTCTTTAGCAATGTTTTGTAGTTTTCGATATACAAATTTTTCACCTCCTTGGTGAAAGCTTATTCCTACATATTTTATTCTTTTTGATGCTATTGTATATAGAATTTATTTTTAAATAAGTTCCTTTATGGATTGTTCGTTGTTAGTATATGAAATGCAACTGATTTTTGCCTATTGATTTTTGTCTCTTGAATCTTTGCTAACTCTGTTTATTAGTTCTAACAGTGTATATGTATAATCTTTAGAGTTTTATACATGTAAATCATGTTGTCTATGAACAAAGAGAATTTTACTTCTTTCTAATTTGGATGCTTTTAATTGTTTTTTCTTGCCTAATTGCACTGGCTAAAAGCTCTATTACGACACTAACTAGAAGAGGCCAAAGCAGGCATCCTTGTCTTGTTTTATTGACTCTAGAAGAAAAACTGCCTTTCTAGAAGAAAAACTACTGATATCACTGAGTATGATATCAGTAGTGGTTCTTTATATATGGTCTTTATTATGTTGAGGTAGTTACCTTCTATTCCTAGTTTTTTATCATGAAAGGATGTTGAATTTTGTCAAATATTTTTCTGTATCAAATGAGATAATCATGTGTTTTCTCCTTCATTCTGTTATCATGATATATTGTAGTGATTGATTTTCATATGTTAAACCATCCTTACTTTGTCCAAGAACAAATCCCACTTGATGGTGGTGTATAATCCTTACAATGTGCTGTTGAATTATATTTTCTAGAATTTTGTTGAGGATTTTTGCATCAGAATTCATCAGAAATGTTGGTTTATAGTGGTTTTGTTTTTTCTTATAGCGTCTTTGTCTTGCTTTGGTATCAGAGTAATGCTGATTTCATAAAATGAGTTAGGAAGGATTATTTCCTCTTCATTTTTAGGAAAAGTTTGATGATAACATGTGTTAATTACATTTTAAATACTTGTTAGAATGCAACAGTGAAGCATGAGGTCCTGGGATTTTCTTTGTTGGGAGGTTTTTGATTATTGATTCAATTGCCATTACTAGTTATACAATTTCTATTTCTTCATGAGCAATTCTTGGTGGACTGTCTGTTTCTAGAAATTTATCTGTTGTATCTAGTTATCCAATTTGTTGGCATACAATTTTTTTCATAGTATTCTCTTATAATCCTTTTTATTTGTGCAAAATCACTTGTAATGTCTTCTTCATTTCTGATTTTAGTTATTTGAGTGTTCACTCTTTTTTTCTTAGACTCTCTAAAGGTTTGCCAATTTTGTTGATCATTTCAAAGAGGTGTGCACGTATATGTGTGTTCCTGTGTTAGAGGTGTGCACGTATATGTGTGTTCCTGTGTTAGAGGTGTGCACATATATGTGTGTGCCTGTGTTAGAGGTGTGCACGTATATGTGTGTGCCTGTGTTAGAGGTGTGCACATATATGTGTGCCTGTGTTAGAGGTGTGCACGTACATGTGTGTGCCTGTGTTAGAGGTGTGCACGTACATGTGTGTTCCTGTGTTAGAGGTGTGCACGTATATGTGTGTGCCTGTGTTAGAGGTGTGCATGTATATGTGTGTGCACCAGCACAACAGACTCAAAGCTCTTTACCTGGTAACTGTGGGGCACCATCCACTGGTCGAACCTACTTGCTCAGTCTCATCCTAGACTCCTCTCCTTGATTTTTTAATTTTTATTTTAAAAAATATATATTTTATTGATTTTTTACAGAGAGGAAGGGAGAGGGATAGAGAGTTAGAAACATCAATGAGAGAGAAACATCGATCAGCTGCCTCCCGCATACTCCCCACTGGGGATGTGCCTGCAACCGAGGTACATGCCCTTGCCTGGGACCCCTGAGTTCACAGGCTGATGCTCTATCCACTGAGCCAAACCGGTTAGGGCAGTTTTGTTGATTTTTGAAAAAAGGTCTTTTTTGATTGTCTTTGCTTTAGTCCCGTGGTTCTCAAGCTTCTGGCCCTTTAAATACAGTTCCTCATGTTGTGACCCAACCATAAAATTATTTTCGTTGCTACTTCATAACTGTGATGTTGCTACTGTTATGAATCATCATGTAAATATCTGATATGCAGGATGGTCTTAGGCGACCCCTGTGAAAGGGTCGTTCGACCGCCAAGGGGCTTGTGACCCACAGGTTGAGAACCTGCTTTAGTCTTTATTATGTTCTTTCTTTTGTTAACTTTGAGTTTAGCTATTTCCCCCTAGTTCTTTATGGTGTGAAGCTAGGTTGGTGATTTGAGATATTTCTTTTTTTAGATGTAAATGCTTAGAGCTATAAATTTTCTTAGTATTGCTTTTATTGCATCTGTAAGTTTTGGTAAGTAGTGTTTTCATTTTTACTTGTCTCAAGATATTTTAAAATTTCTCTTGTGATATCTTCTTTGACCAAGAGGATTTTTCAGGTTTTCTTTTGCAACTGATTTCTAGCTTCATTTTAATGTGATCGTACAAGGTACTTTGTATGATTCCAATCTTTTTTTTAAATACATTTTTATTTATTTCAGAGAGGAAGGGATAGGGAGAGAGAGAGATAGAAACATCAATGATGAGAGAGCATCATTGATCGCTGCTTCCTACACACCCCCTACTGGGGATTGAGCCCACAACCTGGGCATGTGCCCTGACCAGGAATCGAACCGTGACCTCCTGGTTCATATGTCAACTCTCAAACACTGAGCCATGCCAGCTAAGCTGTATGATTTTAGTCTTTTAAAATGTATTAAAATTTGCTTTGTGACCTAACACATGTTCTATTCTGGAGAATTCTCCCTTTGCACTTTAGAAAAATGTTTATTCTGCTCTTGTGGGTGCAGTATTCTGATATGTCTGTTAGTATAGTTGCTCTGTAGAGGTGTTCAACTCTTCTGTTTCCTTTTTGATCTTCTGCCTGGTTTTTCTATTGATTATTTAATGTGGGGTATTGCTTCTCCTACTATATTGTGTTCTTGTTTCTCCCATTACTTCTGTCAGTATTTGCTTCATATATTTAGGAGCTCTGATGTTTGGTGCATATCTTATATAATAAAAGGCTAAAGTGCAAATCGACTGAATGGCTGAACGACTGGTCGCTATGATGTGCACTGATCACCAGGGGGCAGACGCTCAACTCAGGAGCTGCCCTGGAGCGCTGCTCAGCCAGAAGCTGGTAAGCACAGTGGCTATGGCGGGAGCCTCTCCTGCCTCCAGGGCAGCGCTAAGGATGCCCAACTGCGGGGAGTGGGCTGAAACCGTCAGTTGGACATTCCCTGAGGGATCCTGGACTGTGAAAAGGCGCAGGCCGAGCTGAAGCCACTGCCTGTCTCCCCCCGCACCCCCCTCCCCAGTGCACAAATTTTGTGCACCGGGCCTCTAGTGTATTTATATTTGTTATACCTTCTTGGTGAATCAAATTGTATTTTTTTGGCCAGACATTTTGCATTTATAAAGTCAAATATGATAATCCTTCCTTTTATGGGTTTGGCTTTATTTTAGGCACTTCAATATCAAGGAATAAATTAACCAGTGCTTTCTTCTGTAGCACGTGTATTTTTATATTTTAACATTTGCTCTACCCAGAGGTCCAAACACCGTTATTTAATGTAACTTGAGCCTTTAATATTCTGAAATGGTTGGGTCCCCTAAATAAGTGCAGACCCCTAAACTCTCTCCCTGTTGTGTGGTCTGCCTGGCTTAGCCTTGCCTCACTGTTACCCTCTTTTCCTACCACTCTTCTACCAACGTCTAAGTAGTTATTAGGTGTTCCCTCCCATCTCCAGTCATTGCTGGTTGTCTATATATATATACATTAAGTAAATTATGGTTTCAGCCAAAACTTTATGCTTGCCAACCACAATGCCAGGACAGTGTAAATACTTAATCAATATTAAATGGATACAAAGATGCTGTGACCTGGATTCCACACACATCCTGGGGATGTGAAAGGAGACTCAGAGACTCAGGGATTTGCATGTCACACTCAAGCTCGGGCCAGTTTATCCATTCTTTAATGTCACCAAGGGAGGGAGTTTGGCTTGGGAAGTGAAGGGCTGAACCCGGAGAGGCAGTTACTTTTACATGGGATTTACCATCTTTCCCATGAAGAGAGGCATGTTGGCATTTTCATCCATGATGATGACTAAGAAGGGCCTGTTGAACTTGATGGTCAGATGCTTAAACCTAAGCTCGGGCCAGTTTATCCATTCTTTAATGTCACCAAGGGAGGGAGTTTGGCTTGGGAAGTGAAGGGCTGAACCCGGAGAGGCAGTTACTTTTACATGGGATTTACCATCTTTCCCATGAAGAGAGGCATGTTGGCATTTTCATCCATGATGATGACTAAGAAGGGCCTGTTGAACTTGATGGTCAGATGCTTAAACCTCTATCGTCGATGGTCAGCACAGCCTTGTGCAGCGCCTGGAAGGGAGAGAGCAGAGGCATGCTGGGGCAGAGGCAGCCTGTGCCGTCCTTTCCCCAGGCCTTGGAGCAAGGCCAGATATGGGGGAGCTGTGCCGGGGGCTCAAGGAAGGGTCTGCACAGAGGCCCAGTGGGGACCTGGACCTTTATAGAATTTCCTTTATTGAAAAACAAAACAATGACAATCAAGCACAATTGCCAGCTGGGTGTCTGCCATTGGAGCATTTTTATTAAAGAACCACTGGACTCACAACTTGAATCATCATGGTGTGGTGGGAAGAACATGAAATGGGGTTCCAATCCATTTTCCCCCACCAGTGAGCTAACTAACTATCTAACTAACTAACTAACTAACTAACTAACTAACTGTGCCAATTCAAGGAGATGAATACTCTTCTTGAATCCTCGCTTTCCTAAGTAGGAAAATCAGAGCTACATGATATGACCACCTAGGGCCACTAAGTGCTTTATGTGAGAACCCCAGCCAGCGTAGGTGTCCATAAATATGTGCCTGTGTTAGAGGTGTGCATGTACATGTGCGTGCCTGTGTTAGAGGTGTGCATGTACATGTGCGTGCCTGTGTTAGAGGTGTGCATGTACATGTGCGTGCCTGTGTTAGAGGTGTGCATGTACATGTGCGTGCCTGTGTTAGAGGTGTGCATGTACATGTGCGTGCCTGTGTTAGAGGTGTGCATGTACATGTGCGTGCCTGTGTTAGAGGTGTGCATGTACATGTGCGTGCCTGTGTTAGAGGTGTGCATGTACATGTGCGTGCCTGTGTTAGAGGTGTGCATGTACATGTGCGTGCCTGTGTTAGAGGTGTGCATGTACATGTGCGTGCCTGTGTTAGAGGTGTGCATGTACATGTGCGTGCCTGTGTTAGAGGTGTGCATGTACATGTGCGTGCCTGTGTTAGAGGTGTGCATGTACATGTGCGTGCCTGTGTTAGAGGTGTGCATGCTGTTAGAGGTGTGCATGTATGTACATGTGCGTGCCTGTGTTAGAGGTGTGCACATACATGTGTGCCTGTGTTAGAGGTGTGCACGTACATGTGTGTGCCTGTGTTTGAGGTATGCACGTATATGTGTGTGCCTGTGTTAGAGGTGTGCATGTATATGCGTGTGCACCAGCACAACAGACTCAAAGCTCTTTACCTGGTAACTGTGGGGCACCATCCACTGGTCGAACCTACTTGCTCAGCCTCATCCCAGACTCCTCTCCTGTACCGTTCCTTCCCCAGGAGCTGCTCCCGTCCCTGCACTATACTCAGTCCTTTCCTATCACCTGCCTTGTCCTTCCATCCAGGCCTCCCCCGCAGGGGACACCAGGCCTCTCCACTTCTCAAGGCCTTCACGACTCCACCTGCGCACCCTCACGCCTCTGGACCAACATTCTCATCTTCCCTGCAAGCAGCCCCACCTCAGGAGGTAGAAGCTGGACTTGGACTTTCTGTCCCTGGGCGTGTCTCTTGTTTCTAGTGTCTGATTGTAAGCTCCTTGGGGACCAGGGCATAGGTGGGGACCCCTTCTGGTGTCCAGTCCACAGTCAGGCACTCCGTTTGTAGCCAGTACTGAGCCGAAGTTGTTTCTTTCAATTCTCCTGATAAGTGGCATCTTTAGCCCAAATCACTCATTAACTTGGACTCCCTGATTCATCAATAGCTCCCAATGTCACAGGAAGGGGGTGGCGAGGGGGGCAAAATTCCTTTGAAATCCCTGACCCTCGGTCTGACTTTGTAAATATGGGTCCATCGAGGCCCAAAGAGGAGAAGACCCTGACCAGAGATGAGACAGAGGGTCAGTGACACTGCCTCAGAGGACGTCCCTGTGAAAAGATAAGAATTTCACAACATGGAAAGTTTTCCTTTTCTGGTCATTTCTCCCACTTGGCCCCTGCCTCTCTACCCACAGGCGGATGGCAGTCATTATTGGTTTGTTGTATTTTTAGGTGTTCTACCCTGTCAGAGAATGTCAGAATGATGTGGGTCCTCTTATCCCTAAAGGGCCAGGACAGGAGGCCACCCCTCCCTTGGGTGCCTGAACACGTCCCAGTCTTGGTGAGTCCAAGGGCCTTCCCCAGAGACCTCGGTCTGCGGGGTGTTTGTGCCCTTTGTCCCCGCCCCTGGGCTGCAGCCCGCACACATCTGCCCTGTGGACAGCAGGGACAGGCTCACCTTGGACAGCTTCAGGGGTACCTCCTCGCTGATCCCCGAGAGCTCAGCCCCATTACTGAAGACCTTGGTGATGCCCATTTCACCCAGGATGGCTTTCAGATCGTAGGTTCCAGAAATGGACAGTTTGGGCATACTCAGAGAGGCAGACCTGTCAAGATGGTTAGAAAAGATAAGAATTTCACAACATGGAAAGTTTTCCTTTTCTGGTCATTTCTTCCACTTGGCCCCTGCCTCTCTACCCACAGGCGGATGGCAGTCATTATTGGTTTGTTGTATTTTTAGGTGCTCTACCCTGTCAGAGAATGTCAGAATGATGTGGGTCCTCTTATCCTGAAATGCCACCTCCTCTGAGAAGCCCTCCGGGCAGACCTGCAGTGTCCTTGGGAAGCACTTTGCACACTGCCCTGCAGGGTTTGGTCACCCCCCGACTGGGCCTTCGGGGCTGGAATCCCAAGGGAATGTGGGGCATGGTTTCAGGTGTTGAGTGACATTTGCCCAGTGAGTGTTGAGTGACACTCGGGGCTGATTGCTCAGCTCTTGTTTCCCATGGGGACAGATTGTGGCCCTGAGGAGGTCTGACATGATTCTAGCCAGGAACTTTCTATCCTTTCAGTCCACACTCAGCCTTCTCCAGGAAGCACACCGCTTCCTCTCCTCGTGAGTGAGGTGCTGCTCTCCCTGCGCCAGGCACTGACATGGGGAAGGGGCCGTGTCCCAGCTGGAAGTCCCCCAGGACAGGGCTCTGCCTCCTCAGCTGCCGGCACTGTCCCTCTTACAGAGCCCGGCTGGTGCCACCTAAACTGATGCTGGCCTCTGTCTGGAAGCAGAATCATGCACGAGGTGGGTCCCCCTCCCCTGGCCCAATGGTCAGGCCTGATGGGGCGGCTCCCGGTCAGCCCTGGGCTGGAATCACCGTATGTCGATGTTTTTGAAGATCCTGGCCAGGTGCTTCTGGCAGATCTTGGCCTCCAGGTACTGCATCTTCCCCTTATCGGGCAGGATCAGGAAGGCGGGCCCTTGGCCCCTGTAGTGCTGCAGCAGCACCCAGGAGGAGAGCGCCTTGTCGTGCAGCAGGTCAAACCTGCCCAAACGGTGGGTCATGGGCACCCTTATCGTGGTCTTCTTGTCCACGTGGAAGTCTTCTGCTACAAAGCCCTCAGCCTCGAATTTAACCTTCCACCGACCTAGAAAGAGGTGAAGGTACAGGTCAGCCAGGAGGGCGGAGGGTTAGGTACCTGTGGCAGAACACAGGAGCCCGGTGTGAGGGGGCTCTCTCTGAGCCTCAGTTTCCCCGTCTGTTAAATGGAGCTGAAAGGAACCTCAGCTCACTGACAGGACTTCAGTGGGGAGAAAGCCAGACTGGAGAAGGGTCCATGTTGTCTATATTGTAGAGGCTCAGGGGTGCCAGCCTGGTTGGGCAGAGTAAGCATTTGAACTTGTATTTCATACCTGTTTACTAGTAATGGAGGGTCGCTTGGAAGGGGCTAAATGAAAATGATTGGCATCAGTCATGCGTGGCAGCTCCTTGCCTGAGTCTCCCTGCCCCTTGAATCGGGCTTCTTATCATTCAGGGAAATCACCCTTGTTCTTACTCTCATGGCCTTTCCTGGACCAACATGTGAGACGCGGAGGCCTGGGCATCCCCTCTGCTATTCCAAGAGACCGTCACCATCCTGCCAGGTGAGAGCACACAGGAGTCTCAGGGACCCCTGAGCCCCTTCCTCATTGGATGGAAGGTGGAGACTGGGGCTGGACAGGGGACAGGACCCGCCTGGAGACCCACAGCTCAGCTGGGGCCCAGGATGTGCTGACTCTGGGCTCTGCGCTCTCCAGGGCATTTTCTGCCCCAGGTCAAGGAGCCCACAGAGAGAAGGAAGCAGCCCCTGACCTTGACTCCCACCTCCCTGCCCCAGGCTGTTTCCCGGGACTGTTCCATCAGCCTCAGAATGTCCTCTGGGACACACAGGTCTCTGGCATTTTCTTCACTCCCAGGGAGGAAGGCAGGCTGAGAGTCAAGTTCAGTTGAGCACCCACATTGTGAGCCTGTAGTCCCATGTTCTTTGTAACATGCTACTCCTCACAGAAACCTGGCAGCAAGGGATTATTAGGTTCATGTTCCAGATAGGAAACTAGAACCTCAGAGAGGTACAGAGACTTGCCGAGAGCCAGACATTGAAGGTGGTGGGGGCAGGATTTGAACCCCGTCTTTCTGACTCTAGAGCTGCCACTCCTCCCACGACGCTAGAGTGGTCCAGGAGACCTTCTTCATTTGCAAGGTCTGCTAAAGTGTGTTTGCCTGGCTCTGTGTTGTGTGTGGGGGGCACCCTGCATATTGTACCTCTGTCCCTGGTGGGGGTTTACGAGGCATGTGGAACAGGCACAAAGGCTCTGACACGTCCTGCAGGGAAGATGATGCTCTGACTGCTGACCCGTCGCTCGCTGACCTTATTGATCAGGGGGCGTTTCTCATGGTTGTGTGGGGAGAACAGAATCCCCCCGCCCAGATGCATAGTCACATGGCATCCACATGGCATCCTGCACCGCCCAGGAAAGCTTAGGAACTGATGATTGAGAATGTATTTGGATGTTTCCATGGGAACCAGCTCAAGCTGGTGGTAAAACCTACCTTGAAAGAAGATGTAATTTGCCAGAGCAAGAGTTGTGTCTTTGTCAAGGTCTTGGACCAGATCTACAATTTTTTCTTGGCTTTTCATCTCTATGTAATCATTGACCTGTGTATTGGCCTTGGTGTCTCTGAAGTTGATGGAGAAGACATCTGTGTGGTACAGCTTCCCGACATCTTCCAAAAACTTATCCACCACCTTCACACTCTCATTGACAAACAAGATGTTGCCAGTGATCAGCTGCAACTGTCGGTTTGGCTCAGTGAGGGTGTGGAGGAGATGCTGTAAGCCTGCATGGATGTCAGCCTCAGGTACCTTCTTCAAGTTGAAATGTAATCCCTCCAGGATCTGGGTGTGAGTGTCGCCCTTGGCCCCCAGGGAGAGCATGGCAAAGGCTGTAGCGATGCTCACTGGGGAGAAGAAGATGTTGGTAGAGTTGGACTGATGGGCCACCTGACGGTACAGGCTGAAGGCGAAGTTGGCCAGTTCCGGTGTGATCTTGTGGACAGCGACTCCATGGAGACTATCAGCCAGGGAGGCAGGGGCCAGGCAGCACAGGCCTGCCAGGAGGAGGCCCCACGTGACGGAGGATGGCATTGTCCTGCGAGGGAGAGAAGGGGCATCACACCCAAGTCAGGCCACACAGTGAGCCCCCTGGCCCCTGAGTCACACCATGTGAAGCAACCAGAGTTTATTCAGCATCTACTTTGTGCAGCCCTGTGCCAGTGATGAGTTCTGCATCCTCATCGGCGTGACTCAGAACAATAGCTAAGACTTGCACAGTGTTCCCAGGTGCTGAGCTCCTCTCTGAGCACTTTGCTCGCACATCTCCTTGCCCCCTTATAGCAATCGTAGATGCAGGTCGTAGGCCAATTCTCAATCTCCAGAGGCGGAGACCGAAGTGCCACAGGCTTAAGTCACTTGTCCAAGGTCACTGAGCAAAGAAAGGAGCAGGACACAGGGAATGTGGCTCACGCTCTCAACAGCTACCCTGACATCTGCAGTGACCCTGAGGTGCAAGTACCACAGCTCCTATTTTATCAAAGAGGAAACTGAGGCACAGGACACAGATGCTACATGCACACCGTTACCCAGGAAGCAGCCAGATCTGCTTCAGTGATGACTGGATATGGAGCAGCCCCACGACGGCTGCCATGGGACTTAGTTATTTAATGGGCAGAGAGGCTGCTGCCCAGAGAGGGAAAGATCTTGCCCCAGGACACACAGCCAGAACACCCCAGAGCTTTAAGGAATCCCATCCTGCCTGGCATGGCCCAGACCCTCCCTCACACCACACACTTCATCCATCTCCCTTTTCTCACAACCACTGCAGCTTGCACATGTGGGCCACCTGATCCTGCATGTGCCAGGCCTGGGGGCTGTTGGGAGCCTGGGGCTGTTGGGAGGAAGAGCACCTGTGAGCCCTTCACTGGGAGGCCCTTCTGGACATCCGTTGTCGGAAGGAGTGTCTCCTTATCTTCTTTTTACAGGATGCCAGAAAGTGAGGCTTGAGAGGGTTGGTGACTTGCTTGTGGCCGTGCAACTGGCCACGCAGAGCCAGGACAGACAGGCCTCTGGCTTCTGGTCCCGCCCTCTGTGCCGGGCGGGGTCACCTGCTAACTCTTCCCAAGCTGGAACCTGGCTGCTTGTAGGGGTCAGGTTTACAAGGAGTCAGTGGCTCAGCGCAGCTCCAGGAACACGGGGCAGCGAAGTCCCAGGCACCGGGCTGTCCTGGGCGGCAGCCTCCCAGAATAACCAGCCCTCAGTGTGACAGCGGAGGGCTCTCCAGACATGGCCAGGGTCTTCTCGGGTCAGAAGTGCCATGTGGAGGTCCCCAGTGGGACATGAGGCTCCTTGGGAGGCCTCCTCCCTGGTTAGTCATATTTCTTATTTCAGGATGGATTTGTGTCACGTGAGTCCCCACTGAGATTGCTCCTGGGGGCCAAGGTGTTCAGTAGACCGGTGAGTTCGGGGCGTTCATTCTTCTTGGGTGGGGACCTTGTCTAGGGATCCCAGGGTTCCGCGGTGGCAGGTTGTGTCAAGGCCTTCAGGAGATGCAGTGAACCTCCTCTCCTGCCCCCCCTGGGGAGCTTGGGCACCCTTCTTCACTGGGAACTTAATGCATTGCAATCATCTCTACAAGGCTAAATGGCAACAGTCTCCGAGTGTCAGGGCTGTTCCCACTAAATAGTCACATGGCCACAGCCCCTCGAAGCCATTCCAAGCTGGCCCCACGCGAGTCTCAGGTCCCATTCCCCACATGGTCAGCAGTGGACTCACCTGCCCACACGGGCAGGACCCACCCCCAGCCCTGGGCTCAGGTGACAGGGCCTCAGATGCTGCTTTCTGCGGTAACACAGGATGGCTGGGGGGCAGGGGGTGGTGTAAGCGAGTTTCTGTTAGCCTTGGACAGGCCTGGGTTCTGATCTGCCCCTGTCCTTCCCTCGCTGTGGGCCCACATTCTAATCTCTGAGCTTCCCCTTTAAAGTGAGATTGCTGGGAGAAGGGAGTGAAATCAGCCTCGTCATCAAAGCTCACAGCCAGAGAGACCGGCGGTCCGCTCTGTGGGGGAAGAGGGTCGTGGGTTTTGCAAAGTAAAACCTTTAGGATCCATGAGGGGCCAACCGATATCACGATGGGCCGTGAACCCAGATAAGAGAGGGGAAGAGGTGAGAGAAGAGGGTTATCGCAAGAGTTAATGAATACCCGTCAGCCTTCCAGAGATCAAGGCCAGCTTGGTAGGGTAGGAGGTCGGGGCCAGGTAGCAGAGGGGAGACCACGGGCCACCCTCTGGAAAGTGGGAAAAGCTCATCAGGCACCTGCTTCCTCCAGTGAGATGGACAGGGCGTGGAATCGAAGGGAAGGTCAAGGTCTCTGTCTTTGAGTTTTAAAGGAACCAGGTAAGAAAGAAGACTGAGGTAGAGAAGCTGGGCAATCAACAAACAGCAAGTGCTCGTGAGGATGTGGAGCAAAGGGAGCCCTAGTTCCCTGCTGGTGGGGGTGCAGACTGGCGCAGCCACTGTGGGAAACAGTATGGAACTTCCATTTGACCCAGCGATCCCACTTCTGGGAATATATCCCTCAAAACCCCAAAACGCCAATCAGAATGTAAGCACCCCTGTGCTCATAGCAGCACTATATACAATAGCTGAGATCTGGAAACAGCCCACGTGCCATCAGGAGATGAGTGGATAAGAAAGCTGTGGACATCTACACCATGAAATACTATTAAAAAAAATTGAAAAAAGAAGCAGGGCAGAGAATGGGGAGGGGGAAGGGGCTTCCAGGGGATGGGTCCCTACCTTTGCAAGTGGGAGAATCCCAGGTGATGTCACCGAGGCCACAGGGAGGGGATGAAGAGAGAAGTGGCAGAAAGCAGCTGTGCCCACAGCACTGGTAGTCTGAGGGGAGCGAGCCCACAACTGCGGAGCAGCACAGAGAAGGCTCACCGACCCGCTTCCCATCCTGACCCAGCAACTGCAGCCCAACCCGCTGCGCCTCAGTGTCCTCCTCTGTCAGTGGAGGTGACCATCGTGGCACCCCAGCGCTCACCCCAGCGCAGCTCTGGAGGAGTCTGTGGGAGGGTTACACACTCAGCACGTGGAACTCACCTGCTTTCCAGAGAGCCTCGCCGGGCTGCACTCATCTCACAGGCTGCCCCAGTCTCTCAGGGCTTCACCTACTTATAGGGCATCTCAGGGTGGGGATGTGAAGTTCCATGGCCCAGTAACCGCCGCCCCCCCCCCGCACCCCCTCCCCTCTTCGTGCAAGAAATGAGCCTGGGAGCCTTGAGCGCTCAGCCAGCAAGGGCCTGATACCATCGGGGCCTTGCTGTGCCTCCCTGAAGCAGCCTAGTCTAGCGGAGCCAGCATGTGCCAGGTCACCTGAGGGTGGGGTGGTGCGGCGTGGCCATATAAGACCAAAGGGCCGTCTTGCTTTGATGCCCACCTCACAGATCTGTGGAGAGGAGTAAATGAGGAAGACATACCCAGAGCCTGGAACTGTGCCTGAGACATGGTTGACCTTCAATAAATGTCAGCGCCTGAAGTCACTGGGCTTGAGGCTGCCAAGGTGCCAGGCCCAGGAAAGCTCACGTCGGGACCTGGAATCGGCCTCCAAAGTGCATTTATCCAGTCGGGCGAGAGATCACAGGCACCACCAGGTTCCAAGACTCAGTGTGACCCTGTGGAAGAATGACACTGGGATCATGTGGATAATTGAGACCATTATAAACTTTTGAACAATAATAGATACATTTTAGCCAACAATAAAAAAAATAAATAAATAGAAAAACAAAATTAGGAAAAAAAAAAAAAAAGAATGACACTGGGCCACCGTGAAAGTATCAAGGCCTCAAGGGACCTTAATGTTCCTGTTTTGCTAGTTAGGAAACCAAGGCTCCCGGCGGGGAGGTGGTGGTGGAGGGGGGGACCTCGCTAGCGTGCCAGTGGGAGGCTGTGGAAGATCCCAGGCCATCTGGCTCCCGCTCCTGGTCCATGGTAACCAATTGTTGCAATCTGCAAGTTACTCCTCTGTTAGTTTTGTCAGTGAATTGAGACAGGGAAGCGGGAAGCTAGCCCCAAACTATTACTTCTGGAATCTACAGTCTTGAGAAATGTGTAATATTCGGTAAGAACTAGCACTACAAAACACTCTGCAGAATAGTCCACAGAAGAAACTTTAGAGTTGGGTCCCATTATCCCCATTTTGCAGTGATGGAAACTGAGGCACACAGACATCGGAAAAGCTCATGGTTCTGTACTAATTGGAGGCTGATTTGGGATTCCTGCATTCTTTCTGCTTTGTGGTACTGCCTTTAGCATTTTCATCCTAATATTTTAATGCTGAAAGTCACCTCAGGATGAAACGAAGTGACAGTGATCACACTCAGAGCATACTGAGGCTATTGATAACTGCTGACTAAGGAGTAAATGGCTTTTAAAAATCCATACAGTCTGTTTTCTGTATCAGTGAGTCTGTTTCTATTTTGTTTGTTAGTTTACTTTGTGCATTAGATTCTACATACAAGGGAAATCACATGGTATTTATCTTTCTCTGACTGACTTATTTCACTTAGCACAGTACCCTCCAGGTCCATCCATGCTGGCTCAGAAGAAGATTTCCTTCCTTTTTTAAAAAAAATATATTTTATTGATATCGAACCTGGGACCCTTCAGTCCACAGGCCGACGCTCTATCCACTGAGCCAAACCCGTCAGGGCTCCTTCCTTTTTTATGGCTGAGTAGTGTTCCATTGTGTGAATCAGGGATGGGGAACATGCAATCCAAGGGCCATATAAGGCCCATGAAATAATCTGGTGTGGCTCTGCTAAGGCATTAGGGGTAAGTTAATTAAATGTTTGACCAAATATAGCAGGCTAATTTGAAGTTGATAATTTTGCATGGCCCACAAATGATGTTATAAATATCCAAATGGCCCTTGGCAGAAAAAAGGTTCCCCACCCCTGGTAAATGTACCACAGCTTTTTATCCACTCATCTACTGATGGGCACTTGGGTTACTTAAAAACAAACAAACAAACAAACAAACAAACAAACAAACAAAGAAAACAAAGAAAGAAAGAAACCCCTAGATAACAATATGGTGATTGCAGGAGATAAAGGGGTGGGGGAGGTGGCAGAGGGTGAAAGGGAATATATGGGGCAGAAAGAGAGTTGATTTTGGGTGGTGAGCACGCG